CTTTCCTTTGACTAATGACTGTATATTAATATTTCAGTAATAACACACTAACTTCTGGTCTTAATATATTTGACCTGTAATTTCAGGTCAAATTAAACACAAGCACATAATGCCGCCTTGGGTCCTTTTGAGGAGAAAGGTGAGATACAAATGAACAAAGGAACAAAGGTGAGCAAGTAAGCAAGCCTTCCCCACCCTGGTAATTCCGAACACAAGCACATAATGCCGCCTCGGGTCCTTTTGAGGAGAAAGGTGAGATACAAATGAACAAAGGAACAAACAAAGGTGAGCAAGTAAGCAAGCCTACCCCACCCTGGTAATTCCTTATCATATATTTTTAAAGAATAAGTCATCCACATACCGTATTTTTCGCTCCATAAGACGCACCTTCCCATAAGACGCATCAATTTTTTAGGAGAAGAAAACAGGAAAATATAATCTGTTTTCTTCGCTCCATAAGACGCACAGACTTTCCACCCCTCTGTTTTGTGGGGGGAAAGTGCGTCTTATGGTGCGAAAAATACGGTATGTTACGCTATAAATCCAATGGCTATGAGGTCTTACAGTAATATAAATTGTAGTACAACACATTTGGGGAGCGTCAGATTGTGGTGGAAGATTGAAATACAGAGTTGTCACACATTTACAAAAGAAACTGAAACTTAACTTTGTTTTAAAGTGTAACAGAAAAACAAATTAAAATCTAAAAACATTTTATTCCCAATCTAACTGGCCTACTACTTTATATGCTTTAAAAAGTATGTTTCTTCACTTCTTTTGAACAGAAGCAGAAATGCTTTCTCTAAGCTAGAAGAAAAAATGTGGATCTGCATGCAGTTAAGCCTGATTTCTACATCAACCATTTTTCTCAAAGGTAAGTAAGTTTTAGACACAAACTCCATTTCACCAAGCAAGGAAATTATTTGCATAGCATGGTTAGACTGTCTGCTATTCAACTACAATCGATTAAATTACTCAGTTTTACAGACTAAGTACATTTATATTAAGCACATCTAGAAAATGGTCTTCCATCTGCCTCTAGAATTCAAGGGGTGGGAGTTTATCTGGAATGATAACAGACTTTTCCCCTACATGCACTTATGTTAGTTTTATAAATTAAACAAATACAATTGGATCACAAACTAATTCTTTTTCTAAAATAAAACTAAAATTACATAGGGCTCAATGCACACTGTGAAGTCACTTAAATACTATGTCATAATTCTGTCCTCAAACAACCAAGGCATGTAGTAACCAGCAGAAAGCGTTAAGAATGGTGCATAAGGTAACACATCTTTTGTGAATGATTTGATGGAACAACATGGATGTGTGATACAAAGTAAATTGCTAAGAACAGTACTGAAGTCCCTGGTTGGCATGGCTTGGAGAACTATATGACATTACATACACAAGAATGCAGTGCAGTTCAGAGGTAGATTACATATCATGAATGTAGAAGATGCCAGGTAAGGCTGGGAAAACTTCCTTTTGGTAGCCCATTGTTTGTTGTGACCCCCATATCTGTACCATAACTACCATCATCCTCAGGCTAGGTGATCAGAGCAGTAATCAAACACGCATGGAGAGGATCTACTTGGGGAGAGCATCAAGCTGGGGAAGCATGATATAATGAATATGGAACCTGATCAACCGAAGAGGCTGCATGTTCAAGTATGCTCAGGCAACAAGACTACCAGAAGTATGGATGACTATGGTAGCAGGTGTAGGCTCCTCCAGGGTGCATCTGATTTAAATCACAATTTAAATTTTAAAAATTGGATTTTTGATTATTTAAATAAAAAAACATTTTTATTTAAATGATTTAAATCAATTTGATTTTCAAAACATTGTTGATTTCAATCCACCCTGTACTTATTCATGTTCAATTAAAGTCTGGGGACAGTTCATCACGTGCTTGTATCACATGGCATCAAAACTACAGCTGCAACAAAAGCCTCAACGGAAGGGCCAAGATTTTCAGCTTTGCTCAGATTTATCTCCCTTTCCGCCATCCTACCAGTCAATACCATATGTACAACATTCAGTGAGCAAAATAATGCTACAGACACACCATTTCCCACAATTTCCTGAGCAAAGAACATTTTTGTGCACAATGCTATAGTAATCTTAACATTATAGCAATCTTGCCTCCCAGGCAACAAAACCCAAAACATGCAGAAAATTTGGCAAATGCCATTCATATAAAGAGAATGACCCACAACTAAGTCACTGGGTTTTTTTTAAATAATCTTTTAGAATTGTTCGTTTTCACAACAAACTGCTTCCCTTTTGTGTTTTGCCTGTACTTTTAGCTCTACATTACACTTCCGACATTGCTGTACTTGAGCTATTCTTAAATTAATCCAGTGATGGTGAACCTTTCTGAGCTCGAATGCCCAAACTGCAACACAAAACCGACTTATTTATTTCAAAGTGCCAACACTGCAATTAAACCTGAATATTGAGTTTTCAGTTTAGAAACAACAACAACTGCTCCTGTACTGCAACGTTTAAATACATGGTGTGTGTTTTTCCTTAGGGGTGGTTTTAACAAAGAAATACTTACAGTCCTCCAATCCCCCATTGGGTTTGACCATTAATGGTCAACTGCACCCCTCCGCTGGGCCACTGCACCAGCAGAGGGGAGTGCCAAAATCCAGGATCGGAGGACGGGTAAGTATTTCTCACTGGCGACTTATGGCTCCAGTGCCCACAGAGAAGGTTCTGCATGCCAGCTGTGGCACACGTGACATAGGTTCGCCATCACTGGGTTAATCTATAGTAGACTGGAGAAGCAATATTCGGATTATACACTGATGTGATCTTCCCTGCAGCCATTGCTCTGTCTAGGACGCTCTGCTTCTGCATCCACCATTTTATAACTGGCTCTGTACGCCATACAGCCATTTTGTGACTGTTTTAACTGATGCACCTTGGGGCTCTTGCTAGCTATAAAAAGGAGATGTTCTGTTACAAGACTGATTCCTGTTGATCCCTAACCCAGAAGGCTAAGCGCAGTTTAAGTTCTTGGTAGCACTGGTTTGCTTATACTTACATGACCTGAGGCAGATGTGTAAGCACAAGACAGACCAGTTTCCAAAGACCTTGCAACTTTCAATTACTTGGCCAGACAGCAACACCTCCAATTAAGTTATCACAAGACACTGATACTTAAAACAGAGTGTGGCCTTTTCCAATCCACCGTTCTGACACACCTATGCACAATGTCACATGTTAAGATGCTGCCTCCACTTGATCCAGAGCTACAATAAACACTGACCCATGAAGGAAAGTTTTAAAATAATGTATCTAGCCAGAGACTAAACTACTCTGGATTAAAAACCAGATAGCAATGTCGACTCAGAAAATGTATAAAATGAAAAGAGGCAGGGAAACACCAAACAGAAACTGACACAAAAGAAAGGACAATATGTACCATTAGTTACATGTTAATGTTCCTTTCAAAAAATCTAGTTGCTATCACTAGACAACCAATACTTTAATCATGGACAATCATGTGTCCTTAGTGCATCCTCCTAGTTTCTTTTCTTTCAGTTTCATAATCACATTTTGCTCTCTCTCTCCATCTCTTCTTTCTTTCTGCCCCTCCCTTTTCCACAGTATGTACTGTAGTTTCAGATCCTCCCTCCTACTTCTTGTCAAGTAAGATACAGACCTCAAGGGCTTTAGTGCCCCAAAGAATTTCCACAACTCAAAGCCATTCATGCATTCTTGTTACCTAACCCACCAAGGAAAGGTTTCAGATTTCATCAGGAAGGACAGAACACTTTATGCTTTTGATTCAGACAAAGACAGGAACAACTTCACTCCAGCAACTTCCACCTTGCCTTAAGCAGTTTACATGTAGAGATTTATCTTTTATTGCAAAAGGAGAATCAGTGAAATGGTCCCATTACCAAACCAAAGGGGGAGTCATCAATATCACATCGGACTAAGTTTATTTATTTCATTAGGTCCAAACTAAGTACTGTATGGCTTTGCTTAGATTCAACACAATGGCCAGAATTCTCCTGTATAGTAATTCTGGTGGAAGGAGAATGGTGTAACTTGCAGCAGCAAATTGCCACTAATTTACAAGTAAGTGCTTCAATCTCTGGTCACAAGCTAATCACCTGACTGATATGCAGTGAGGAAATTAAGACTTTGTAATAACTGGCAATTTGCAGTTTATTCATAGGGCTACTGTGAGTAAAGCTATTTTCCCTCCACTGATACCAACTTCAGAAAAAGATTTGGCCACTATATGCAATTTCATAGACTACACTGTTATTTGGATTTCAGCTAAAACTCATCATAAATGCAACTCATATTCAAATCTACTTAAGCAAGTAATTCCACCCTAAATCTGCCATTCCCCCAACTCCAGCTGTTCTGAGCAATACCTCCCAGTACCTCCAGTCAACATAGATGGTGTAGTACAGCACAGCTGGAGTACAATTGAAAGGGAGAAGACTGAACTAAAACAAAGCTGACCGCCTCCACAAAGAACAAAATTTCCATCAGTCAGGGAAACAAACAAATGTAAGACTGAAAAAGCATAGAAAAAGAGGTTTTATGATGACTTCTGGTAGAAGGCAAATGAGTAAGGCTAGAATTTCTCAGCTACCCTTAATACTTAACATGCAATTGAAAACAGTCAGATTATCCACTTCAGTCATTAATAAATAACTGAGTGCATAGCACATCCTACTCTGTTTCCTCAAGATACCTTCCCATATATAGAGATGAAGAACTGTTAGCTCTTCAAGCACTGCTGGACTGCAACTCCCAGGACCCCTAGTCCACATTCCAAGTGGTGAAGCATGGGAACTATATATCAATAACATTCATAGGGCTACATTTCAGGAAGACTGATATACATACAGTATACTGCTAGTCAATCCATGACATAGGGCTAAATAGGCTTTCCAAGCCTAAAAGATGAGTAATTTTTGCTGTTGCTTCTACTGCACTCTGAAATTACACCTGGCACTACTCACAGTGATACATGGTGCTGTTCAGTGTCTGCTTTGGTCAGTTCTTCCTCTTCAATATCTGACTCCCCACCAGAGCTGCTGTCCGTGACATCTGAGTCAAACGCTTGCTCACAAGACCGCAGGTTAGCCATCCCACTGGAAGTAAACCTCTCCAGTTCTTCTGAGATGGAGTCATTATTTAGGAAGCTGCTCAGTCCTTCAGATGTATTTGTTTCACTTGCAGCTTTTCTCAAAGCTGCTTCTGCCTTGCGGGTCAGCATCAGCTGACTCCGATGTCTCAGGGAGTCCAAAGCTGGCAGCTTGATCAGAGTTTTCTCCAAGAACCCCCCTAGTTGTTGCTGAATGTGCCGCTCCACCTGTTTGGCCTGCACTACCTGCAAGCGCTTTTGTAGCCGGCGAGCACGATTCTCAATGTCTGCCTGCCGCCGCAACAGCACCCTTGTCCTCATATCTGAATCCAGAATGCTATGGGAATTGTTTGGCAGAGAGATCTTCTGTTCCTCTGCTGGTTTACTGCTCCCAACACTGGAACAAGCAGGCATACCAGATAACAACCACCTGCTTTCACCACTCCCTTCAAGCCCATGCAACTGTTGTGGTGAACTATGGGCATGCTTATTTGCAGTGCCATTATTGCTAACTGGAGCAGCATGCTCTGTGTCAAGGCTTCTGTGTGGAAGAGTACAATTAGTCAAACCTGATTTCAGGTCCCCCAAATTAGAACCCCCAGGGTTATTTGTATCAACATCCTGAAGGCTGGCCGGAGGAGGAGCACGCTTCCCACCATTCAGCGAAGCCGAGTTTTCATGATCAGAGCTATTGCTCTTTGCTAATTTTTTAGCCAAGCCATTGACAGGTGCCTGCGGCAGAGGTGTCTGGCTACTAGCACTCATGTTTTTTAGGTTCTCCAAGGAAAACACTGGCTGCCTTGCCAACAGGTCACCAGTTTTCAAGAAGGAGTGAGATAATAGAGAATGGGATTTCAGGACTGTCTGTTTGTTGAAGACCCCTTGCAGTTTCAAAGACTCCTTTGAAGGAACAGAAGTTACATCCGAGCAGAGGTAAGACGCTACCAGAGGCTGCAGCTTTCCCAGCTCTTCCTTTGTAGAGTTATTTCGGAAATCTAGGTTGGAATCCTCAGCTTTCCTTTTCGTGCCGTTGGTGGCAACAAGGATATTGTTGGCGTTGCCGTTGTTTTCGGCACTGCCAGGAGACAGGGCGGAGGATGGGGGAGCCAGTTTGAACCGGATATGGTGAGCTTCAGCTGCTGCGTCAGTGAGAGCGGGCGCCATAGTAGCCATTCAGCACCAAGAGTTGGGACGTCCAGCCTCTCCCTTTGCAGAGGCCAGCTCTGCTGTCTCCTACTGCCTCGCCAGAGGGCAGCCTAAAAAAGGAAGCAAAGAAACGTTTTAGTCACAAGTACAGAATCAATAAAGCTAAAGTACAAAGCAGCATACTAGGCACAGAGCACTCTGGGACAAATACAATGACATGTTGTACAAAAGATCATAGCTACTGGACAGTGACATGTATTTCCTATCCTCCACCAATCATCTCACATCTCAGTGCCCACATGCAGGCAGAATCATGAGTACAAGTGCCAAAATCATGTGGTAAAACAAAGGAACAGCATATACAAAGTAGGAGGAGAGCACAATACAGAAAGAGTCAAATCTGCAGAAAGTGAGTAAACTGGGTTGGAAATCTTTGGCGCTCCCAATGTTTTGAACGGTATTTTCCATTAATTCTCTACCATTAGCCATGCTTTGGAAGATGAAGTCTCAAGCATCCTCACCACTGCCATAAGCAAACGGCTGAAGAACTGAGAAGATACAAGGTGAGGGACAAGTTGTGGAAAAAGGAAGGAAATAATGCCGTGATACAAGCAATACAGAAAGCTATCAGTAGTGCTGTTGGAAGGAGATTATCAGGAAGCCCATGAAATTCAAGCACAAAACCTGTCCAGAGATTATCCCTCCTCCCAGTGGATCAGAAAGGAATCCCAGGCTACAGTGTGTCAAGTCTTGAGCCAGATCAAATCCCTTTCACACAGAAAAAAGGAACCAGTTTTTACAAAAGAAGATCTTCAATTATCAGTCTCTCTAAAGAATTGTTTTGAGGATCCTGAGAGAAAGCCCAGCTACCTTCCTAGGCCTAGACAAAGTCTTTTTTTCCTAGTAGGGTGGATTTGATTTAAATCAACTTGTTTTAAATCACAATTTAAATTTAAGAAAATCAGATTTTTATGATTTAAATAAAAATGAATTTTTCAATTGTGATTTAAATCAATCTGATTTTAAAAATCATTGATTTTTTTCCACCCTGTTACCTAGGATAATTTCAAAAGGGGGAGAGGAGTTCTGTAATTGGCAGTCCCACTTTTAACACTTAGCTCTATTCTACAATTGGGGTGGGGGTAATAATTAAACATCTGATTTCTGAATTCTTTAAAAACTTGTTCTCCAGAACTATAAAGCCAGAGCAATGTACTAGATTCTTATTACTGAATTACCGTAAATATAAAGTTAACTCAGATTTGGAACTTAAGATGCTCCTCATAATCAGAGAATGACACAGAAAAGGCACATGGCAAGGCCTACAAAACACTTCAGCCTTTATGTGGATTGTTTTATCAAGGAACTAATTTTCATTAAGCAGTGTAAGTTATACCAAAATGCTAGCAGTGCTAGCATTCACAGGAATTTCCAGCCACCCTTAATCATACAAACATTCAACATAACCCTTCAGTGTTTCTCCCTTTCATCCCCATTAAAAAAACCATAACGCTCTTTATCATTCAATTTTTCCCTTTCTTTTTCACATTTTTCTTTAGATCGGATGACTGAACTAAACATTGTATTCTGAACATGGCTGAGCCACAGCTTTCTATAAACAGTGGTAGGCAATTTGGGGCCTTCCAGATAGATGATCTGAGCTTCAAATTCTCAAGATCTATACCCAGTATAACCAATGGGAAAGGATCAAAGGAGATACAAGTCAAGATATCAAGAGGAAATTACCCTCCCCCATAAAATGGCATTGTATTTGCTCGCTTGCTGTTCTCTAGGTAAAGGTAAAGGTTCCCCTTGACATTTAGTCCAGTTGTGTCTGACTCTAGGGCACGATGCTCATCCCCATTTCCAAGCCATAGAGCCGGCATTTGTTCAAAGACAGTTTCCGTGGTCACATGGCCATCGCAACTAGACACAGAATGCCGTTACCTTCCCACTGAGGAGGTACCTATTTATCTACTCGCATTTTTACATGCTTTCAAACTGCTAGGTTGGCAGGAGCTGGGACAGGTGATGGGAGCTGACTCCGTCGCGTGGATTTGATCTTATGACTGCTGTTCTTCTGACCTTGCAGCACAGAGGCTTCTGCAGTTTAACCTGCAGCGCTACCACGTCCCTTGTCGTTCTTCTCTGCTGGAGCACATATCAAGTTAAAATTGAATTCTGTTTCTTCAATGGGAAATCAACATAGAATGAGTGGCCCCCATTCAGCTCTAGCTGCAAGAACAATCAGATATACAGTGGTGCCCTGCATAACGAGTGATTCGTTTAACGACGAATCCGCGTAGCGATGTTTTTTTGCGATCGCAAAAGCGATCGCATTGCGATGTTTCTAATGGCCAAAAATCGCTTTGCGATGATCGGTAAATGTTTCGCTTACCGATTTTCGCATAGCGATGTTTTTTTAACAGCTGATCGGCGGTTCCAAAATGGCCGCCCGCACTGTTTCCGCGCCTTTTCCTCGCTTACCGGGCAGCAAAAATGGCGGCCGCATGGAGGATTTCCTCATAACGGTGAGTTTTTTGCCCATAGGAATGCATTAAACGTGTTTTAATGCGTTCCTATGGGCTTTTTTGTCCTGCATAGCGACGAATCCACATAGCGATGATTTTTGCGGAATGGATTATCGTCGCTATGCGGGGCACCACTGTAACTGGTAGCCCCCCAGGCAAAACTCTTACATCAGATGTAACCAACAATTCAGGAAAATCCAAAGCACTTATCACAAAACAGTTGTGCACCTGTGCTAGCCATGTGTGAAAAGGTTATGTCCTCACAGAACTCTATCCTACCGGACTGTGGCGAACATATGCAACTGATTTGATCTCAAGTGAACATATTGGTGCATATTAAGCAACATTATGTTAAAAGTACATTTTCCCTACTGAAGATAAAAAAAAGTTGACTGAACATGCTTTGGAAGATAGTATTACTTTATTTAATATTATGGTTGTCCTTTTTCAACTTTCTTCATCACACACACTCAGTATATGTTCAAGGAGATAAACTGAGAATATGACAGAATCATTTTCTAGATTTTAACTAGAATGGAAATGGGATACAAGCTCAGATGGAATACACACTCAAACTGAGTACAAGCTCAAACTCTGTTTGGAAAACCATAGCAGCAGCAAAGCAACCTTTACATTGTCTCACAATTGGCACAAATAGTAAAAGAAGTTCCTTTACACCAAACATACTCAAATTAAGCAAGATGGAGCCACTTCTCGTTTTTTTGGAATAACTGTACAGATTACAAAGCATAACAGACCTATGGATTTTAACACTAGTATTTAGTTATAATCATGACACTTGCCAAGATATGTTACACACATGATGTGAACCTCTCTCGCTCAACTTATACGCTTGTGTTTTTGGCACTCAAAATTTTCAACACAAACTTCTGTTCAATTAATCTTACCTAGATTATAGATTTTAAACATTTTATTTATGTAAAAATTTTCCTGTTAACAAGCCACAACAATACTCATCCAGAGACCTTTCTACTACATCCAGAATAATCACATACAGTATTCAAAATCTCATGGAGAAAATTTAGTATTATTTATTAGGTAATTATCTCTATGTTACTAGTAATTTCAGAAGGCTAATGCAATGAACAGAAATTGGTTTGACAGATGTACCTGAAACAACAGGATAACAAAACAATTTATAAAATCAGGATGGGGGAGGGATCTAGAAATTGCAAATGGCTGAAATAACAGCCATCTTGTGTTCAAAAGACATAAGTACCGTAATTCTTCAAAAAAGGTACATATGATACATACTTAGCTGTGGTTTTGTAAGATTTAAGATAGTGGTGCATACTATTCTGAAAATTACAAGTATGGCTGAAATGCACAGTTAGCATAGTAAGTTGCACTGGTGTAGGCCCACTAAACTGTAAGTTGCAACTAGAATAGGCCCATTTGAATCAACTGCACTTATGGAGTTGATTCATCAAATCCCCACAAATCCAATAGGCTATCTTAGTGAAACTACACTAAGCAATAAAAACTCAGCCACTGTGCTAAATTTTTGTCTCTTTACAACGCTACTAGATTATAGTAATTAGACATTACAAAATGGTTTTATAAGAAATGAATGGAATCAACTTGATTGCACATTCTTGTTGCTGTCTTTGTTGCTGCTGTTATTAAGAAATGATATTTCTGATTTGTTAAGATCTGCCCAATTAGTGATACTACAAAATGTAACTCTAACAACACAGCTATAAGGACAGGGAAGGTTTAAAAAAACTGAGATATACTGTTTATGGAAGACAGTAATGCCAATTATAACCATGCTTGCTGAATATATTCAGGGAGTGGTATATGTGTCTTTTCTTTATTACCTGCTGGGAACACTAGGTTAAACAGCACATTACATAGACAGACATATATCTCTCCCTTAACTACCTTAAATTTATAATTTCAATCTTAAATTGCCTGATACTCTTGTACTGGACATTTACATAAATTCTGTGAAAGAATTAAAAATTAACACTAGTATCCAGACTAGAAGCACATTAAAAGAGTAACGAAAACACCACAACCTGAAATGAATCCACGTTTTCATATGGTTAGCCCCACCACCACCAAGAAATCATACTTTACAGGGAATTCCAGAACATTTTAGTATCTCAGGACAAAAAAAGAGCCCTTCGGTGGATCAGATTCTACCTTTCAATTAAGGCACCAAGGATAAAGCTTCACAAAGAGCAGAAAACATACACAACACTGATTCTTGGATATAGTCAACAGAGTTTTGCCTTAGTTCACACAAATGCTAGTTAACTTGGTTTTTTCACACATTGCATTAACCTATATTCCCTTTAAACACAAAGGCAAGACGAAGACAAATCATCCGATTGTGCATGATGTAATGAAGGGCAAGGTGAAGAAATCCTTCATCATCAAGTTTAAAAGCTGCTTCTCAGCAGCCATGTGGAACAGTTTCAGAGAAAAGCCAATGAGTCAATATAGGTCAATAAGTTATTTCTCCTATCCACCTTAAAAACTATCTTTAAATTAAAATTGGAATAGATTTGGCAAATAATTTCTTTTAAAAATGTTGCACAGCATACAAGAAT